CCGGTTCTTCGTTTGCTGGTGTCGTCGTTTGTTGGTTTTGTTGTTTGTTGGTGTCGTCGTTCGTTGGTGTTTCAATTTTGCTTGTGCAATCGTTAATTGTTGTTCTTCGTAGTTCTTTGGTGGATTTTTTTTAATACTAACCTTTCTTTTTTTTTAGGTGTTTCACTCGGTCATTTACTTTTCATCTTTCTTTGGTGGGTTTCTTTGTAGTTCTTCGGTAGGTTTCTTTGTCAGATTTTTCTTTGTATTAATGTTTTTTTTTTTTAGGCTGTTCACTTGACATTCTTCAGTGGGTTTCGTTGTCATTGTTTCTTTGAGATTTTCTTTATACTAACATTTCTTTTTTTTAGGTATTTCTTTGGTAGGTTTCTTCATCTTTCTTTGGTAGCTTTTTTCATCTTTCTTAGGTAGGTTTTATTGGTGCTTTGGTGTTTTTTAGAGCTTTCATCGTTTGTTGATGCTTTAGCGTTTCTTGGAGATTTCAATATTTGTTGATGCTTTGTCATTTCTTGGAGCTTTCGATGTTTCTTGTAGCTTTCGACATTTGTTGGTGCTTCATTATTTCTTGGAGATTTCGATGTTTGTTGGTGCTTTTACATTTCTTGGAGCTTTCAACATTTGTTAGTGTTTTGTCATTTCATAGAGCTTTCGATATTTCTTGAAGCTTTCGATATTTGTTGGTGCTTTATCATTTCTTGGAGCTTTCGATGTTTGTTAGTGCTTTAGCATTTCTTGAAGCTTTGACATTTGTTGTTTCTTGAAGATTTTGTCGTTTGTTGGTACTTCAGCTTTCTTAGAGATTTCGTCATTTCTTGGATTTTTTTTTTTGTAGTTTAGTATTTGTTTATTATGTAGAAAATATTCGTTATATAATGACATTGTTTTTTTTTTAATAAATAAAGTTTTTACAGTATTATATAAATTATTATTTTTTAAAGTTTTTTTTTTTAAAAAAAAAAATTGTCATCGTTATGTAACGATGACGATTTTTTAAAAAATACAAATTTTGTCAAGCCAATTTTTTTGTATTATTTCAGATATTTGCGAAAGATTTCAAATTTTTTTGCATAATATTTTGAAAAATTTTTCACAGATCTTTGGAATATTTTTCAGAAATTTTCGAAATTAATTATTTCAAAAATTTTTATGTCGATCATAAATCTTTTGAAATATTTTGACCTGAAAATTCTTTTGAAAGATTTTGCCTATATAAATTTGCTGATATACAAGTAGAGGATCTGCATAGTAGAAATTCTGAGTTAGTGAAGTAATATAGCCTTCTAATAAGACTACATTAGCTAAAGTTTAATCTAAAAAAAAAACTTAGTCTAATAAAAGTAGAAGGTTTCAAGGTCTCTAGACGAAGGGTAATTAGAACTAGCTGGATACTAGAAAAGAATTAGGTCAACTAACTAATAGAGGACTATAGTGGAACCTGGGGTTATATAAATATCTACAAGAGTCTAAACTAGATAAATTCATAAAATGAGTACAGACTGCTCTAATAGGTTTGCTTCAAAGTTAATTAACTCTACGATACTAGCAATGTATCTAATATAATATATTCTAAGAGGACCTAAGCTGTTCTGAATAAATAGATCTATAACAAGCTAGCTAGCTTAAGCAGTTAGGTATTGCAGTGATGTTAGATTAGATCTGTATAAGTTAATGAACAGAATGTTTAAATAGGTAACTCACAGGTAAGTTACAGGTATAATAGCATAGTGTAGAACCAATCAGGTAGTCTAATACCTGTGTAGCAGACTACTTAAAATAGATAATGACTAAAATTATACATGTGGCTTGTTGTACACTCTTTATGTAATTACAAAAAGTAGAGATTATCAATATATAATCTTGTTGACAACTCTAATAAAATTCCTTTAACAATGTAAACTGCCTTAACAACAAAAAAAAAAAAAAAAAAAAAGAAATTAGAGCTACTAGTAATAAATCACAAATAAACTAGAAGTGATAGCAATTCAGACTTTGCAGTTAAAGTTAGCAAAAACAAAAATATAATTGATTTGATTAGTTAGTGATCACGTTTATTGTTTACATTAATTAACCAATCAAATCGAATGTCTACTATGCTGGCTAGTAATTGTTCATTTAGTATTCAGATAATATTGTTCTGAAATATAGCGTAGATTAAATAAAAAATTTGCAGTATAATAAAATTTTAGTATATATGTATTGTATAGTTAGAGAATTCTAAACTCGATACAGTAAAAAAGCTTTATTAAATTTGGTCAAATATTTTCAGTACATAAATATTTACTATTCTAATATTTAATTTAATGAACATCGTATACATATTTATTATAGCGAAGATATAATATAATAAAATTATTTTATATCGGACTGAACTAAATTGAACTAAATTGAACTAATGAATTTGGTCCAGTCCAAGTCCAATGCTAAAACTATATATTGGACTAGTCCAATAACAACCCTGGTTTCACAAACACTAAGTCGTCATTTTCTCAGAAGGAACTACCCTTCAAACTGTAGATCATGATCCATATGTCCAAATATCTAGTCTACAGTTCAATAGCATTAAAGAGCAATACTGCTTTAAGCAGTGCTAAACGGTAGTACATTTCACTATTGGCCACTCAATTTAAGCTATTGAATTACTTCACGTTGACCATTAACGGAATGATAAAGGATTTGGACATAAGCTTTGTAGCTAGATGTGAATGAGCCGGTGTTTCATATTCAAGCCAGATAGCATCATGTAAACTATTATCAACTAATTTCAACGTCTATAATTATGATTTTTTATGAGGTTAAAGAATAATAATGTATCTAGATGATAAATAATTACAACAAATTGAGAATATTTATATAATCAAAAGTGATAAAGTCGATTAAGAGAATATAATAAATAGTAGTTTCATAAGCAATAATAGGTTTAATCTACTTTTCAAAAAATTTGAATTAATATTATATTAGAGGATTCACTCGCTACTTCTATCAGTATGTGAATTCTGCACTATCGATTGTATAGATTCCAGTTCAGGTAGGCTCATAAAAAGAAAAAGGAAATCGCATAATGTTTCTCGAAAATTTATATTTATTTGTATCTGAATGTAGGGTTTAAAATTCAGAGATTAATATAATCCTGTCCTATATTTTCTGTGTTTTGATGATTGTATTTGAAAATCGAACACTGGTAAGTCCGATCAGCAGTGTTGTTAAACGTCCTGTTCATTGATAATTGTTACATCCTTTTATTATATTATTTACCACATCATGTAATAAATAATATAGTAAAGGATGCGATAATTACCAATGAACAGGACGTTTAACAACACTGCCGATCAGATTGTTTTTTAAACGGGCGATTGGTTGAATGGTTTAGTTTGTTATGCTAGAGGGGTTTTTAAGAATCTAACTCTTGATTGATAATGCTAGTGTTTATCGATGATTGGAGAAAATTCTGCCACGTTGTGCTCCAAATAGAGTTGTATTGTACGTATGTATGTCTCAAGATTACGTGTCTATACTATACATATTTTCCCTGTATTTACAACCTTAACATGATTTGATATTCATGAGTGGCAAAGAATTGTGTCTACGATATAAATCTACATTAATGGTAGTTTATGGTAGATCTTCAACAATGAGGTTACAAATATCAAATTAAGATACTCAAATGTCACAAGAACGTTCGAACTTGTATATATTTTAACAACAAGAAGTTTATACAATATTCCCCAAAATGTTTGTTAATGTCGATATTCACACGTGTTCTTTATCAAATATAAATATGGTTGTCGATAAAGGAAATTTGCAATAAAAAAAATCATAATCAGAGAAATTGAGGAATGAGGCCATTCATACGTGTAACATTATTGATCATTGAGCCTCTGTAAGCGTAATTTATGTGAAGCCTATTTTGTTACAAAAACGAAGATCAACACGTGATATAAACTTGGCAGACTTATAAATGTTGCCTTATTCTTTATTTCGAGAGTTTCTGCAATAGCATTTTTGGAATTTAAAGTTCGTTATAAAGAACACATGTTTAATGTCGGAGTTTCAATGAAATGGAGCGACTAAATTTAGCAACTGCGCCAGGCCCAATGAATTTACTTTTGATGTCTAAATTAATTTGATCGTACTGCGTGTGCAGATTTGTTTGCATACCAGTTCATTTATGCCAAGTTAATCATTATCCTTGCGAACTAAATAAAGATGATGTCATTATGTTATGCTTTGAGTATAATTTATACAGGAAAAATACGAAATTCTATTTTTTTAATCACTTTTCGTTTAATTCTACTTTGTATCCTTACTTGGTATCCCTACTTGAACAAAAAACTTATAAAAGGCCATGCAAATTGCATCTATGCTTTGCGATCGCAAGGAACTCATCTTTTTAATCTTTTCATTATATTCTATCAAGTCTTTCCGTCTTATGATTGATTAAAAATATGTATTTGCTCGAATCCGAAAACATATCAAACAGTCCTTCTATTAACGTTCCTTATCCTCCTCCAATTTCGGCCGGAGAGTTAATATTTCATAAAAAAAATGGTGAGGTTCCTGCCCGTGCACCAAATGCATTCTTGATCTATCGACGAGTCTATGTTAAAGAATTGCAAGCTAAAAATTATGCCTTTAAAATGACCGATGTTTCTTCTATGGCATCATCTTCTTGGAAGTTGGAACCAGATTGGGTGAAAGATGAATACTTGAGAATTGCTGGTGAAGCTAAGAATTTGCTCACAACTATCCGCCAGAAATCGTTAACGTTTTCACGCCGCAAATCGCGAATACAAAATGGCTTAGATAAGCCTCAAAAAACCCTTTCAACTTTACAAAATAAACAAATATCTTTAGAGAACACTTTACCTTATGCAGAAACTTCTACTGTCCAAATTACTGATTCTTCCATGTCGATGGACGAATATCCTACCCCACCAACAACTGTCGATGAATCTTTGAATGATTTCGATACTAGGTTTGCCGATGTCTCATTTTTGAATAACATACTTGGATCACTTCCTCTTTGCAATGATGATTCTCCTCCTTTTACCGATAAAAGGCCTGACGAAGGGATTGTTCTACCCTTTGCTAATTTTCCATCTATGAATATCACGTCTTCAGTAATTGATTTTAATCATGAAATGACCTACTATCATTTAATGTCTAATTGGCAATGAAGATTCTCTAGAAGAATCGGACGGATAAAACCATAAGGAAAAGAATTATTAATTATGCTGCTCAACCATTATTAAGGTTGTCTGTTTCTTTAAGACTAGTTTATGTGTGTGGTCTATTTGATACATTTTAAATTTATATTATTTTTTTATGATTAAAGATTTTTTTTCCTATACGTTACACATGTTATAATCGTGTATTTATTTATGTATTAAATTTCTTAATTTGATTTTTACATGGTTTTCTTCATGTGATGGTCATAATTAGGAATAAATGTGAAATCTGTAATAAGCAAAAATATAAGAGTTTTATTATGATCAAAAGTTCTTTAGTACTATTTGACATGTCTATAAAAAATTTTCTTGTTATATGTTGTGCCTCTTGATGCTGTTGATTTTCGGGTGACGTGCGTAACTTGTCAATCAGTGCGTAAGCTGTAATTCAAGTTGCAATCAATTTTCCCGACAATCATTTCCCTGAACACTTAGCCAGAACCAACTATAAATCTGGCTAACCCTAACCCTAAATCGGGCCAACATTACTCTGTCGGAGAAATCTGTGCCACCGGTTTAATAGTGCTCTATATGTACTTTGAATTTTCAATTTTATTATTAAACTAATCACGAATTAACCAAAAGAGATAAAAGAAATAAAGTGGTGCAAAGATAATATACTTTTTTTCTAAAAAAAAATAATAATAAAAATTAGGGAGACAAGCATAAAGAGATATAAAGCCAATGAGATCAAAGCAACAACGTGGTGAAGTAAGGTAGTGTACTTTTTTTTTAATGAATTAGACTACGTCGAATGTATGGACAAGCTTAAAAGAGAAAGCCAACGTCGAAGATAATCAGAGATCAAGAGGAATAAAGCCAGGTAGACAGAGATAAAAGCCGACGTCTGAAGATAAAGAAAGGCACGTCAAGGTTAAAGCCAAAAGGAGTTTTATGACGTTGTTCGTGTTCTGACCTAAAGTTCTCGCATTTAAATGCAAACTTTGAAGCTTTTTATTGATTCAAATAATGAATATAGCTTACCTCAGATGACCGATTGACAGTTACGCACATCACCCGACGCAAGAATACATCTGAGGCACAACATAGATGTAGAAAGAATAGTGAATTGTATAAGTAGATGTTATAGCGGGCCATTCATGTTCTAATAAAAATTGGAATCGCTAAATGTAAATTTGTTTTAATTTACAATTGTCTCAAGTTGTGACCAGTGATGTAAATTGGGTTCGCGCAGTAGGCGCAGCGTACATAGAGCGCGTATATCAGCGCTCTCCGTATATATAGCGCGCGTATAAATTTTTTTTTTTTGTACACATTTTTTTGCATTTGCGCGAATAAAAATTTTTTGAATTTATAACACTGTTTGTGACCGAGGTGCCTCAGTCGAGACTCAAGTATATACATATTAGGGATCTGCAAACCCGGCATGTGCCCATGCCAAACAAAAAATTTCAAGGCACCGGCATGGGCATTGGCATAGGCACAAAGTGCCCGGCACTTTTGTGCCTACGGGCAATTTGTGCCTAACTTAAAAGTATCAAACACTTATAAAAACAGGTGCCGAGCACAAGTCATGCACAAAATGCCTATGCCACAAAAAATGCCTGGCCCAAAAGTGCCTGGCACTTTAAGCCCATAGTCATAGGCACTGCCTAGGCACTAATGCCAGGCATAGTGCCCAATATGCCCGGCATGGGCATTTGCAGAACCCTGGTTTAAATATACGCATATAGCCAATTAGAAAGCCAACTATCTCAGGAAGGGGAGAGGAGTAGGCTCTATAGTAAATTTATCTTAGCTAATATCTAACAGGCTTTAATAGAAAATTACTATTTATTGCCACTAGTAACTATTATCAGAATTTTGTGTATAACATGTAAATCAATAACAATAAAACAAAAAAAATTAATTTCATTTACTTTAGAGTTAAGGCAAGGTCTGGAATTTTATCTAAGCATTAAAATATATGTAAAATTTAGCAAAAAATTATTTGTTATACTATTTTTAATAGTAAAATTATTATTATTATTTTTTTATAATTTAGTAGTCATATTAATACTTTATTTAATTAAGTTTTAATCTATAACTAAAACATTATTATATAATATTTTACTAATTAGTAATTAATTTTCTAAGTACTAACTTATCTAGTTACTACTTTAGTATCTATATATGATTTGCTATAGTAATCTTTATTTTATTTTATTTTTTTTTTATTGTTAAAGTAGCTTATATTGCTAAAGGGATTTTATTAGTTTTGCATATAAAATTATATATTAATAATTTTTATTATTTGTAATTATATAAAGAATATATAATAAGTTATATATACAACTTTAGTTATTATCTATTTTTTTTTTTGTTATTAAGGTGGCTTATATTGCTTAAAGAATTTTTATTAGTATTGCAAATAAGATTATACATTGATAATCTTTACTATTTGTAATTATATAAAAAGTATACAACAAGTTATATTTATAACTTTAGTTATTGTCTATTTTAAAAGTAGGATTTTTGTTTACTATTTTTTTACTATTTGTTTGCATATTGTATAAAAATAAACTAATTAAAAATTAATAATCTACAAAATTAATTAATTAATTATATTTCTTGATTTAGTTATACTTGCATATTTGTTTGCTTATTGCATAAAAAAATATTTAAATAAAGATTTTATTTTTAAGTAGTCTACTATACAGGCATTAATTAGACTATCTAATTAGTTCTATACTATACTACTATACTTATAACCTGCTTATGAATTACCTATTTAAATACTCTGTTTATTAACTTATACAGATCTAATCTAATATTACTATAATATCTAACTGCTTAAGCTAGCTAACTCATTACAGATCTATTTATTTAAAATAGTTTAGATCTTCTTGAGATATATCATATTTAACATATTTTTAGTATTGCAAAGCTAATTAATCTTAAAGCAAATCTACTAGAGCAGTTTATATCTATTTTATAAATTCATCTAGTTTAGATCTTTATAGATATTTACTAGATTTTCTTTTTAGATCAGACTTTAACTAATATAGTCTTGTTAGAAGGCTATACTATTTCACTAAATTAGGATTTCTATTATACAGATTTTCTGTTTATATATTTTATTAAGATTTATTCATATAATATTATATCATATTTTCAAGTTTTAATTGATTTGATATAATTTAATTTATAGAAGTATATCTTCAAAAACAAATAGAATTTACTATAACATATTATAAAGTCTGAAAATTATTCAAATTTGTCAATAGTAAGATTTGAACTCTATACCTATTGTATAGTAGTTTGACAATTTAACTACTATACTAAGTCACTAAACCTTAGTTATTATCAATTTTAAATAGTTTACTATATAGCAATAGATATAAAATATATCTAATACTATAGTATTATTTTAATTTGCAAATTTGTATAACAAAAATAAAAAAATAAATTTTTATAAAAACAAAAAATAACTTTTAATTATTTTAGAGTTAGAGTAAGGTCTAAAATTTTATCTAAGTATTAGTATATATAAAATTTAGTAAAAAAATTTTTTAATTAGAGCTTCAAGAGTAGTTTTATAAATGAAATTTTGAGATATTATTATTTTTTTAGAAAAATAAACAAAAAAACAATTTTAGGTTATACCTGATCTTAAATTTTGATTGGCAGTTCTAATAGTTTTGTATATATAGTATTCAATATCTATAATATATATTAGTATTACTACTATATAGATATTAGATTATCTAATTAGTTTTTTATTATACTACTATATCTATAATCTGCTTATGAGTTATCTATTTAAATATTTTATTTATTAATTTATACAGATCTAACTCTAATATCTACAATATCTAACTACTTAAACTAGTTAGTTTATTATAGATCTATTTATTTAAACTAGCTTAAGTTCTTTTAGAATATATTATATCTAATATTGTAGATATTGTAAAGCTAGGTCTGGCAATCTTAGTGTAGTGGTTAGGTTGCTAGACTACCATGCAAGAGGTCTGGGGTTCAAATCTCACTGTCAACGAATTTGAATAATTACCTAGACCTTTATACTTAACTTACGGTAAACCCTGTCCATTTCTGGGGTTGTAACCCTATAAATCATATTGCACCAATATCATCCAGATATTGGAAGTGTGACGAGGCATTTGAAGAGACGTAATATTACACGAATAAATCTTGATAGGATCTACAGGCAGAGGACCTGCATGGTAGAAATCCCGAGTTAGTGAAGTAGTATGGCTTTCAACGGTCATACCAGCTAACGCTTAATCTAGAAGAATAGTGTACTCAAAGACTTTGATCGTGTTAGGTACGCATAAGTCTGTATCATAGTGGGGATCGCTGTATGTTATAGTTACACCAACTTGGCTTGGCAGCTAACTAGATTGGGAGGATCTAACTCATGATAGGCCTCAGCGAGATCTCAAAACGACACTGGTGGAGAGCTACAGTAGAAACTGGAGTTGTACAAATATCTACAAGGGTCTAAGCTAGGTGAGTTCGTGAAATAGGCACGGGCTGCTCTAGTAGGTATGCTTCGAGGTTAACTAGCTCTGCAGATATTCACAATATGTTGAGTATAATGTAACT